GAAAACATAGATATCAGGTTTTCCATAATCAGACAAACTTCCTTTCCGCCATCTTTATTTCTTTGAAAAACATTCTTTTTCGAACTCCTCCTAGACCGTTTGTCCAATTTTCACGAAAATTTAATCGTATCATCTCCAGACCGTGCCGACTAAAAGTTATGAATTGCACGATGATAGACAAAACCGTTTTGGTATACCACAGCATCAAAGTTTAGGCATGCTGCCAAAATTACTATTTAGTTTCGTACCGTTCGGTACGAGGCTTTCGGTTCGGTTTTCGGTACGCATTTTTAAACCGAACGGTTCGTTGGACCATATTTCCTACCGACCAAAATTTTGTTATTTTGCGCTTATAATGTAAGTGACGCTGGTGTGACCACAACATTGCCCAACATCAAATGTTGAACGAAACTGAGCTACTCGTTATAGTGTGGTTGACGGGCCGATCTTAATCAAGCAGCACTGTCACTACACAGCCAAATCCAGTAAAGATTTTTTTTTTAATTCGCCACTGAAGTGATAACATCGCTGTAGTATTTGTTGTATTGCCTTTAAAGTATTGGCAGACAAATAAAATAAAGTATATCATGACCATTTTGAAAAAAAAAAAAAACTATAATTTTTGCAATGACACATTAAATTGGAGGAACGATGCTGAAAATTCAACTTTGATCAAAGGAATAAATTACATGTTAACATATAGTCACAAAACAGTTTTAACTGTAATAATATTTCAGTAGGTATTACTTTTAATATTATGATGTTATAAACATGAACACATTCAACTCTAAACCTATTAAGTGATATTATCCTGCCTTTTTGTTCTTTATATAGACTAAAACAATGCTCTGCTAATGTCTGTGTGCTCCTTAAGCAACTTTTGCGTGTGTGTGTGTCTTTGTGACACTTCCTGTGAGCACTATGTGCAGGAAGTGGCTTGTCACATTTTTAACGGGCGTGACTGGTGTGGCCCAGATTATGACATCATTTCAACACACACACACACTGCCCAAGCTTCAGTTGGCAAACCGAAATGGACTTTTGTCTCCATGGAAACCAAGCAGACAGAAATTATCATACACACACATGAAAGAATGCACAGTACTTCATATCAGGTTATCTATTTTTAAAAGGAAATGAGAAATGCAGAACCTGACATCTCCATGTGTGTGTTTGGGTTACTCTTTAACATGAATTCGATCCGACTAAAAAAATGACAAAAATGCAATTTAAAGGTACAATATGTACGAATTTTGTATCAAAATATCCAAAAACACTTATACGGTGTTATTTATTTCAATTGTGTACTTTCATTATCCTCAATGTTTCCTAGAACTGGAGCCATCCCTGTTCACTTGTCGGCTGTCAATCACGTAACATCCGCGGAATTCCGTGCTGTCTCTGGTTTCCGCTTGTACTGCGATAGTAACCATGGCGATAGACGTGGACAACTGCATTACGGCTCGCTGGTTTCCATTTTTACTGCGATAGTAACCATGGCGACAGACGTGGACAACTGCATTACGGCTCGCTGGTTTCCGCTTGTACGGCGATAGTAACCACGGCGATAGACGTAGACAACTGCATTACGGCTCGCTGGTCTCCGCTTGTACTGCGATAATAACCGTGGCGACAGACGTGGACAACTGCATTACGGCTCGTTGGTTTCCGCTTGTACTGCGATAGTAACCATGGTGACAGACGTGGACAACTGCATTACGGCTCGTTGGTTTCCGCTTGTACTGCGATAGTAACCATGGTGACAGACGTGGACAACTGCATTACGGCTCGCTGGTTTCCGCTTGTACGGCGATAGTAACCATGGTGACAGACGTGGACAACTGCATTACGGCTCGCTGGTTTCCGCTTGTACGGCGATAGTAACCACGGTGATAGACGTGGACAACTGCATTACGGCTCGTTGGTTTCCGCTTGTACTGCGATAGTAACCATGGCGACAGACGTGGACAACTGCATTACGGCTCGTTGGTTTCCGCTTGTACTGCGATAGTAACCATGGTGACAGACGTGGACAACTGCATTACGGCTCGCTGGTTTCCGCTTGTACGGCGATAGTAACCACGGTGATAGACGTGGACAACTGCATTACGGCTCGCTGGTTTCCGCTTGTACTGCGATTGTAACCATGGCGACAGACGTGAACAACTGCATTACGGCTCGCTGGTCTCTGCTTGTACTGTGATAGTAATCATGGCAACAGACGTGGACAACTGCATTACGGGTCGTTGGTTTCCGCTTGTACTGCGATAGTAACCATGGCGACAGACGTGGACAACTGCATTACGGCTTGCTGGTTTCCACTTTTACGGCGATTGTAACCATGGCGACAGATGTGGACAATTGCATTACGACTTGCTGGTTTCCGCTTCTACAGCGATAGTAACCATGGCGACAGACGCAGACAACTGCGTTACGGCTAGAGACACACTAGACACGCTCACGCTGTTGTTGTTTTGTTCAAACATTATGAACCATGGCAAGCAGACTTTAGGACAAAAGTAGAACTTAAATGAGGATCAATATCAGAGTGGCGTTTTCGAGATGCCGAGAGCTTAATGTCCGCGACTAACTTCGACTTGACAGAGACGCCGCTCTTGCATGAGCTTTATTAGACACAAGAGCAAATGTACATAAAACTAATCAATGTTATTAGGGGTGTAACGATACATGTATTCGTATTGAACCGTTCGGTACGAGGCTTTCGGTTCGGTTTTCGGTACGCATTTTTAAACCGAACGGTTCGTTGGACCATATTTCCTACCGACCAAAATTTTGTTATTTTGCGCTTATAATGTAAGTGACGCTGGTGTGACCACAACATTGCCCAACATCAAATGTTGAACGAAACTGAGCTACTCGTTATAGTGTGGTTGACGGGCCGATCTTAATCAAGCAGCACTGTCACTACACAGCCAAATCCAGTAAAGATTTTTTTTTTAATTCGCCACTGAAGTGATAACATCGCTGCGATATCTAGTGAGAAACATTCTCTACTCTTACAGGCAGCTCTGTATTAGTTTGATATTTTGTCTGAAACAAGGTTTCCTGTGTGATCACATTGTGACCCTGTCAGTGTGTGTGTGTGTGTGTGTGTGTGTATTGATTGTTTGGGTGTGTCTTTGTAAGGGTGTGGCTGTACAGAAATAACTTTTTGAGGTTGAGGAATGAGAAAGAATTGACAAACTTTGTGTGTGGTCAAATTATGATAAATACTTTACTCTCTCACTCTCTCTCTCTCTCTCTCTCTCTCTTTCTCTTTCACACACTCACTCACTCTCTTACACACTCACTCTCTCTCTCTCTCTCTCTCTCTCTCTCTCACACACACACATACACACACACACATACACTCTCTCACTCACTCACTCACTCACTCTCACACACACTCTATCACACACACAATCTGTCACACACACACCAGCAGGTCACCTTGAGTTTTTTGCATTTGACTGGTTTATGGCTGGTGAAGTGGGAGGAGCCAGATGGCTGTTGGGATGCTGTGACATTCACATGTTTTACTTAATGTGTTGTTTATATTTTGGGGTTTTATTGGTTTATTTTTAATTTATAAAAATAATATATATATATAAAAAAATATATATATATATATATATAAAACGGTTGGTTCAAATCCTTGATTCTGATTGATCAACAGCTGTGCTTTATTCACGATAAAACACGGCTATGACCGCTTCACCCAACGGTTCTATTGATCGCTGCGCAACACTGCGGTTCTGTTGTTTTTATTTGAGCTTTCATGCGTTTTACACATTGGAACGTTGTTGCTGTTCACGCTCAGGGACTATTTTTTGTAGCGGAAGGAAGGCTTTTAGTGATTTTACTTCAAGAAAGTTGCACTAATACATTGTTTTTTTACTTTAATATTGTGTATATATATATATATATATATATATATATATATATATATATATATATTAATTCATTAAAAATATTAAATGTAATTAATGCATCATCTATTTATAGCTTTAATTACAGCATATGATCACGCTATAATGTGTTCAAGTGCTTTTGAACCAGCGCTTTTGTTACTTTAATAATGATTAATCTATAGTTTATGACAGAGAAGGTAAAACTCCGAACCGGCCGACCGGGCCAGAAGAAACAATAGTGCGAGTCCTGATATATATTAAAGAAATGATAACAGCAGGTTTATGTTCACTTAAATTAAGTTATGTTTTTAAATGTTAAAAATGATGTCTCTTAATTACACTGTAATGTTGACTGGCTATAATTACACATTTCATCCACATCTCTTTGCATCAGTCGCTGTATCAGTATCAGTGATCCTGGCCTTCATTCACAGTACATTACATGTGCTTGTTGTTAATAAAGATATATTTAGATAATGTAATATTTCTGTATCTCTCTGTGGTATCGTTTATAATGCGCGTACACGCAAGTTTTGCTATCCACATTCCTCAGCGCAGGTCATGTGATCTTAGCTGGTATAGTTTTGTGAGGTCAAAGGTCACGTCTCTTATCACAT